AAAAGTCACTTCTTTTCCATCCCATCCCCGGTTCTCAGCCCTTTTGAGTCGACTCAAAAGTCACTTCTTTTCCATCCCATCCCCGGTTCTCAGCCCTTTTGAGTCGACTCAAAAGTCACTTCTTTTCCATCCCATCCCCGGTTCTCAGCCCTTCGCCCTTTTGAGTCGACTCAAAAGTCACTTCTTTTCCATCCCATCCCCGGTTCTCAGCCCTTTTGAGTCGACTCAAAAGTCACTTCTTTTCCATCCCATCCCCGGTTCTCAGCCCTTTTGAGTCGACTCAAAAGTCACTTCTTTTCCATCCCATCCCCGGTTCTCAGCCCTTTTGAGTCGACTCAAAAGTCACTTCTTTTCCATCCCATCCCCGGTTCTCAGCCCTTTTGAGTCGACTCAAAAGTCACTTCTTTTCCATCCCATCCCCGGTTCTCAGCCCTTTTGAGTCGACTCAAAAGTCACTTCTTTTCCATCCCATCCCCGGTTCTCAGCCCTTTTGAGTCGACTCAAAAGTCACTTCTTTTCCATCCCATCCCCGGTTCTCAGCCCTTTTGAGTCGACTCAAAAGTCACTTCTTTTCCATCCCATCCCCGGTTCTCAGCCCTTTTGAGTCGACTCAAAAGTCACTTCTTTTCCATCCCATCCCCGGTTCTCAGCCCTTTTGAGTCGACTCAAAAGTCACTTCTTTTCCATCCCATCCCCGGTTCTCAGCCCTTTTGAGTCGACTCAAAAGTCACTTCTTTTCCATCCCATCCCCGGTTCTCAGCCCTTTTGAGTCGACTCAAAAGTCACTTCTTTTCCATCCCATCCCCGGTTCTCAGCCCTTTTGAGTCGACTCAAAAGTCACTTCTTTTCCATCCCATCCCCGGTTCTCAGCCCTTTTGAGTCGACTCAAAAGTCACTTCTTTTCCATCCCATCCCCGGTTCTCAGCCCTTTTGAGTCGACTCAAAAGTCACTTCTTTTCCATCCCATCCCCGGTTCTCAGCCCTTTTGAGTCGACTCAAAAGTCACTTCTTTTCCATCCCATCCCCGGTTCTCAGCCCTTTTGAGTCGACTCAAAAGTCACTTCTTTTCCATCCCATCCCCGGTTCTCAGCCCTTTTGAGTCGACTCAAAAGTCACTTCTTTTCCATCCCATCCCCGGTTCTCAGCCCTTTTGAGTCGACTCAAAAGTCACTTCTTTTCCATCCCATCCCCGGTTCTCAGCCCTTTTGAGTCGACTCAAAAGTCACTTCTTTTCCATCCCATCCCCGGTTCTCAGCCCTTTTGAGTCGACTCAAAAGTCACTTCTTTTCCATCCCATCCCCGGTTCTCAGCCCTTTTGAGTCGACTCAAAAGTCACTTCTTTTCCATCCCATCCCCGGTTCTCAGCCCTTTTGAGTCGACTCAAAAGTCACTTCTTTTCCATCCCATCCCCGGTTCTCAGCCCTTTTGAGTCGACTCAAAAGTCACTTCTTTTCCATCCCATCCCCGGTTCTCAGCCCTTTTGAGTCGACTCAAAAGTCACTTCTTTTCCATCCCATCCCCGGTTCTCAGCCCTTTTGAGTCGACTCAAAAGTCACTTCTTTTCCATCCCATCCCCGGTTCTCAGCCCTTTTGAGTCGACTCAAAAGTCACTTCTTTTCCATCCCATCCCCGGTTCTCAGCCCTTTTGAGTCGACTCAAAAGTCACTTCTTTTCCATCCCATCCCCGGTTCTCAGCCCTTTTGAGTCGACTCAAAAGTCACTTCTTTTCCATCCCATCCCCGGTTCTCAGCCCTTTTGAGTCGACTCAAAAGTCACTTCTTTTCCATCCCATCCCCGGTTCTCAGCCCTTTTGAGTCGACTCAAAAGTCACTTCTTTTCCATCCCATCCCCGGTTCTCAGCCCTTTTGAGTCGACTCAAAAGTCACTTCTTTTCCATCCCATCCCCGGTTCTCAGCCCTTTTGAGTCGACTCAAAAGTCACTTCTTTTCCATCCCATCCCCGGTTCTCAGCCCTTTTGAGTCGACTCAAAAGTCACTTCTTTTCCATCCCATCCCCGGTTCTCAGCCCTTTTGAGTCGACTCAAAAGTCACTTCTTTTCCATCCCATCCCCGGTTCTCAGCCCTTTTGAGTCGACTCAAAAGTCACTTCTTTTCCATCCCATCCCCGGTTCTCAGCCCTTTTGAGTCGACTCAAAAGTCACTTCTTTTCCATCCCATCCCCGGTTCTCAGCCCTTTTGAGTCGACTCAAAAGTCACTTCTTTTCCATCCCATCCCCGGTTCTCAGCCCTTTTGAGTCGACTCAAAAGTCACTTCTTTTCCATCCCATCCCCGGTTCTCAGCCCTTTTGAGTCGACTCAAAAGTCACTTCTTTTCCATCCCATCCCCGGTTCTCAGCCCTTTTGAGTCGACTCAAAAGTCACTTCTTTTCCATCCCATCCCCGGTTCTCAGCCCTTTTGAGTCGACTCAAAAGTCACTTCTTTTCCATCCCATCCCCGGTTCTCAGCCCTTTTGAGTCGACTCAAAAGTCACTTCTTTTCCATCCCATCCCCGGTTCTCAGCCCTTTTGAGTCGACTCAAAAGTCACTTCTTTTCCATCCCATCCCCGGTTCTCAGCCCTTTTGAGTCGACTCAAAAGTCACTTCTTTTCCATCCCATCCCCGGTTCTCAGCCCTTTTGAGTCGACTCAAAAGTCACTTCTTTTCCATCCCATCCCCGGTTCTCAGCCCTTTTGAGTCGACTCAAAAGTCACTTCTTTTCCATCCCATCCCCGGTTCTCAGCCCTTTTGAGTCGACTCAAAAGTCACTTCTTTTCCATCCCATCCCCGGTTCTCAGCCCTTTTGAGTCGACTCAAAAGTCACTTCTTTTCCATCCCATCCCCGGTTCTCAGCCCTTTTGAGTCGACTCAAAAGTCACTTCTTTTCCATCCCATCCCCGGTTCTCAGCCCTTTTGAGTCGACTCAAAAGTCACTTCTTTTCCATCCCATCCCCGGTTCTCAGCCCTTTTGAGTCGACTCAAAAGTCACTTCTTTTCCATCCCATCCCCGGTTCTCAGCCCTTTTGAGTCGACTCAAAAGTCACTTCTTTTCCATCCCATCCCCGGTTCTCAGCCCTTTTGAGTCGACTCAAAAGTCACTTCTTTTCCATCCCATCCCCGGTTCTCAGCCCTTTTGAGTCGACTCAAAAGTCACTTCTTTTCCATCCCATCCCCGGTTCTCAGCCCTTTTGAGTCGACTCAAAAGTCACTTCTTTTCCATCCCATCCCCGGTTCTCAGCCCTTTTGAGTCGACTCAAAAGTCACTTCTTTTCCATCCCATCCCCGGTTCTCAGCCCTTTTGAGTCGACTCAAAAGTCACTTCTTTTCCATCCCATCCCCGGTTCTCAGCCCTTTTGAGTCGACTCAAAAGTCACTTCTTTTCCATCCCATCCCCGGTTCTCAGCCCTTTTGAGTCGACTCAAAAGTCACTTCTTTTCCATCCCATCCCCGGTTCTCAGCCCTTTTGAGTCGACTCAAAAGTCACTTCTTTTCCATCCCATCCCCGGTTCTCAGCCCTTTTGAGTCGACTCAAAAGTCACTTCTTTTCCATCCCATCCCCGGTTCTCAGCCCTTTTGAGTCGACTCAAAAGTCACTTCTTTTCCATCCCATCCCCGGTTCTCAGCCCTTTTGAGTCGACTCAAAAGTCACTTCTTTTCCATCCCATCCCCGGTTCTCAGCCCTTTTGAGTCGACTCAAAAGTCACTTCTTTTCCATCCCATCCCCGGTTCTCAGCCCTTTTGAGTCGACTCAAAAGTCACTTCTTTTCCATCCCATCCCCGGTTCTCAGCCCTTTTGAGTCGACTCAAAAGTCACTTCTTTTCCATCCCATCCCCGGTTCTCAGCCCTTTTGAGTCGACTCAAAAGTCACTTCTTTTCCATCCCATCCCCGGTTCTCAGCCCTTTTGAGTCGACTCAAAAGTCACTTCTTTTCCATCCCATCCCCGGTTCTCAGCCCTTTTGAGTCGACTCAAAAGTCACTTCTTTTCCATCCCATCCCCGGTTCTCAGCCCTTTTGAGTCGACTCAAAAGTCACTTCTTTTCCATCCCATCCCCGGTTCTCAGCCCTTTTGAGTCGACTCAAAAGTCACTTCTTTTCCATCCCATCCCCGGTTCTCAGCCCTTTTGAGTCGACTCAAAAGTCACTTCTTTTCCATCCCATCCCCGGTTCTCAGCCCTTTTGAGTCGACTCAAAAGTCACTTCTTTTCCATCCCATCCCCGGTTCTCAGCCCTTTTGAGTCGACTCAAAAGTCACTTCTTTTCCATCCCATCCCCGGTTCTCAGCCCTTTTGAGTCGACTCAAAAGTCACTTCTTTTCCATCCCATCCCCGGTTCTCAGCCCTTTTGAGTCGACTCAAAAGTCACTTCTTTTCCATCCCATCCCCGGTTCTCAGCCCTTTTGAGTCGACTCAAAAGTCACTTCTTTTCCATCCCATCCCCGGTTCTCAGCCCTTTTGAGTCGACTCAAAAGTCACTTCTTTTCCATCCCATCCCCGGTTCTCAGCCCTTTTGAGTCGACTCAAAAGTCACTTCTTTTCCATCCCATCCCCGGTTCTCAGCCCTTTTGAGTCGACTCAAAAGTCACTTCTTTTCCATCCCATCCCCGGTTCTCAGCCCTTGGGCTGTTTTGAGTCGACCCAAAAGACACCTTAGTTCATGCTCACTTCCATCCCATCCCATCCCATCCCATCCCATCCCATCCCATCCCATCCCATCCCATCCCATCCCATCCCATCCCATCCCGTCCCGTCCCATCCCATCCCATCCCATCCCATCCCATCCCATCCCATCCCGTCCCGTCCCATCCCATCCCATCCCATCCCATCCCATCCCATCCCATCCCATCCCATCCCATCCCATCCCATCCCATCCCATCCCATCCCATCTCATCCCATCCCATCCCATCCCATCCCGTCCCATCCCATCCCATCCCATCCCATCCCGTCCCATCCCATCCCATCCCATCCCATCCCATCCCATCTCATCCCATCCCTAAACCCTCAGCGCTCAAGTCGATGCCCATCGCTCTCAGCACGGCAGCAGCCAACGAGCAGCACTACGAAGTCCCAACGGAGCTCTTCCAGCTGTGCCTGGGGAAGCGACTCAAGTACAGGTGAGGCTCGATACATGCACGCCCCGGTACAGCTACATATCAGAAGAGCCAATTGGCAGAACTACGAAGGTCCGACAGGGCTCTTCCAGCTGTGCCTGGGGAAACGATTCAAGCGCAGGTGAGACTCCGTGCAGGTACGGCTCAGTGCAGGCGAAGCCCAGTGCAGGCAAGGCCCAGTGCAGGTAAGCCCCAGCACAGCCAACGAGCAGCACCCACGAAGTCCCAACGGAGCTCTTCCAGGTGTGCCTGGGGGAGTGACTCAAGAACAGGTGCGTGCTGATGCTGGTATGTCAATGCAAGGATGTTGAGATACAGGTGAGACTTTTCTGGCACAGCACGCACAGCTCAAGTGTGCAGGTGCCTTGCGTGCTGATGCTGGCATGGAAATGCAAGGGATGCCCTGATACAGGCCGTAAGACTGATCGTCGAGGGCCAGACATAACGGCGAGGGAGAGGAGGAGAGGCAGGGAAGGCGGACGAGGCCACTCTGGACAAGACTGAAAGGCTGATTGATGCTGGCCATGTGATGTTAAACGGCTCAGGTGACCCGTGGACAGTACCTGCTGACTCCCTTCCTTATCCCCCCCTTTCTCTCTCCTCGCCCCCTCCCAACGGCTGCTGCTACTTCCCGTCCCGTCTCCCAAGACCACTCTGGACGAAGCAGAGGAGCTCATGCAAGCCGTGCATTGCGCGCGGGCTCAGCTGGCCGATGGGCAACACATCCTGGAGCTGGGATGTGGTATGGTGTGGTGTGGTGTGGTGTGGTGGGGGTGGAGATGTAATGGGATCCCTGTCCTTCCCCTCCCTTCTCCGCAGTGCTGCTACTTCCCCACCGCCAATACCACTCTGGACGAGGCAGAGGAGCTGATGCTGGCAAAGTATTGTGAAAGGGCGCAGCTGGCCGACGGGCAGGACATTCTTCAGCTGGGGTGTGGTGTGGGTGGGGTAGCCTGTCATAAGATCTCTCGCCTCCCCCCTTTTCATGCCCGCAGCTGCTGCTACTTCCCGTCCCCGGGCAGGACATTCTGGAGTTGGGGTGTGGGTGGGGCAGTCTGTCGCTGTGTTTGGGGGGGAGAGGAGAAGAGCAGCGCATTGACCACCCCCTGTTTACTTCCCTGTGCTCCCCGCTATGCCCATTTCCCCCTCACATTACCCCAGCTGCTGCTACTTCCCCACTGCGAAGACCACTTTGGACGAGGCAGAGGAGCTGATGCTAGCCATGTACTGTGAAAGGGCGCAGCTGGCGGACGGGCAAGACATTCTGGAGCTGGGGTGCGGGTGGGGCAGCCTGTCGCTGTACATGGGGGAGAAGTACCCCAACAGCCGCATCGTGGGGGTGTCTAATTCGAGCACTCAGCGTGCTTATATCGAGGGCCAGTGCAAGTGAGTCTCTCTCGATCCCTCCCACTTTAAACGTTTGTGTATCATCTTCACAAGAGCAGCTGGGGTGGGGTGTGGAGCTGGGGTGTGGGTGGGGCAGTCTGTCGCTGTACATGGGGGAGAAGTACCCCAACAGGCGCATCGTGGGGGTGTCCAATTCGAGCACACAGCGCGCCTAGATCGAAGGGCAGTGCAAGTGAGTCCTTTCTTACGCAAGTGAGTGAGTGCCAGGGTTGTACCACGAGCCTGCCATTGAGCTGGGGTGCGGGTGGGGCAGTCTGTCTGTCGCTGTACAATGGGGGAGAAGTACCCCAACAGCTGCATCGTGGGGGTGTCCAACTCGAGCACACAGAGCGCTTACATCGAAGACCACTGCAAGTGAGCCGTTTTTGCTACATAATGAGCCTGAATGATCATGACAGGAGGGCTGGGGTGGGGTGTGTGGGTGGGAGTGGGTAGGGCAGTCTGTCTTTCGCTGTACACGGGGGAGAGGTTCTCCCCAGCGTGGGGGTGTCGGACTCGAGCGCACAGTGCGCTCACATCGAGGGCCAGTGCAAGTGAGTTGCTACTACCCTGGCGTTGTGAGCCTGTGCATTCCCCAGAAGAGGAGCTGGGGTGTGGATGGGCTGGCATGTTGCTGTTGCTGTTCGTGGGGGTGTTATGTATTTTAGCACTCACAGCGCTCTTACATCAAGGGCCAGTGCAAGGGATTCGGCTTCTGGGGTTAGATAGATAACCTCAAAATGCGAGTGAGTACGTGCATTCCCATGCCTGCTGGTGTGGGAATTTACCATCAGGCTATTGCTACTTGTATGCTATTTTGCTGTGCTTGTTCATAAAACCAATCCCTGCTGTTCTTGTTAGTAAGAACGATCCTGTCTGTCCTGGCTATAACTGGCAATGAGGTTCTCAGTGAGGTTGTGCATGTTGGTGAACCTACTACTTGCACACACAAAAAAAAAAAAAAAAAAAACAGGGGCTGTTACAACTAGCAGGCACATTTATGTTTCTCACCAGCAGCCGCGCCTCCCCTGCCGCACGTCTCTTCGGAACTGTTGGTGAACCTTCGGCAGGAAGAGGAGGTTCACCAACATGCGCAGCCTCAATGTCGATCGTTCAAGGTCTATAAACAAGATTTCGTCACACCTCCTTCTCGTTTGTGCAGGGAGCGGGGAATCAGCAATGCGTGCGTCATCGCTGGTAGCTCGTTAAGGGCCATAACAACACCCCTCTGCACATCCTTCTCTCTTGTGCAGAAAGCGATTTTTGAGGCGCCTCAAAATAAGGGCCATAACAACACCCCTCTGCACGTCCTTCTCTCTTGTGCAGAAAGCGGGGAATAAGCAACGTACGCATCATCACAGCAGACATGAACACATTTCAGGCAGAGGGGACGTTTGACCGAGTGGTGTCCATTGAAATGTTTGAGGTGAGTGCAAGTAGGAGGTTTGCACTAAGGGGAATGGAGGGTCGAGAGGGACCAGCAACGTGCGCAGGCACAGGGGCTGCTAAGCAGATATGAAGACGTTTCAGGCAAAGGGGACCAGCAAAGTGCGCTGCGCAGGCACAGGGGCTACTAAGTAGATATGAACACGTTTGAGGCAAAGGGGACCTTTGATAGAGTGGTTTCCATTGAGATGTTTGAGGTGAGTGCAGGTAGGAGGTTTGCACTACGGGGAATGGGAGGGAGAGAGGGATTAACAACGTGCACATCATTACAGCAGATATGAGCTCGTTGCAAGCAGATGGGTCCTTCAACCGAGTCATGTCGATTGAGATGTTTGAGATGAGTGCGCAGTTGGGCAGACATGCAGCAGAGAGGAGGTCGGTCGGACAGAGATGTGTCCGTCCGTTGAGGTGAGATGTGGATAGGTGCACTGCGTGTGGAAGGGCAGGAGGGAGATGGAGAGGTGTCAGTTGAGATGGAGAGGTGTCAGTTGAGATGGAGAGGTGTCAGTTGAGATGGAGAGGGGTCAGTTGAGATGGAGAGGTGTCAGTTGAGATGGAGAGGTGTCAGTTGAGATGGAGAGGTGTCAGTTGAGATGGAGAGGGGTCAGTTGAGATGGAGAGGTGTCAGTTGAGATGGAGAGGTGTCAGTTGAGATGGAGAGGGGTCAGTTGAGATGGAGAGGGGTCAGTTGAGATGGAGAGGGGCCAGTTGAAATGGAGAGGTGCCAGTTGAGATGGAGAGGTGCCAGTTGAGATGGAGAGGTGCCAGTTGAGATGGAGAGGTGCCAGTTGAGATGGAGAGGTGTCAGTTGAGATGGAGAGGTGTCAGTTGAGATGGAGAGGTGTCAGTTGAGATGGAGAGGTGTCAGTTGAGATGGAGAGGTGTCAGTTGAGATGGAGAGGTGTCAGTTGAGATGGAGAGGTGCCAGTTGAGATGGAGAGGTGCCAGTTGAGATGGAGAGGTGTCAGTTGAGATGGAGAGGTGTCAGTTGAGATGGAGAGGTGTCAGTTGAGATGGAGAGGTGCCAGTTGAGATGGAGAGGTGCCAGTTGAGATGGAGAGGTACCAGTTGAGATGGAGAGGTGTCAGTTGAGATGGAGAGGTGTCAGTTGAGATGGAGAGGTGTCAGTTGAGATGGATGAAACCATGGAGGGAGTTGCTAAGTGGTATCATGGCATGTCAACGTGTCATCACACTCGGCTACATCCTCGCCATTCATCATCCGTGAGGAGTCTGTTTTTGAGGCGCCTAAAAAATGTACATCCTCGCCATTCATCATGTGTCTCCCATTCCCAATGCCGCTTCCGTGTGCCCCCCCTTCTCTGACGCCCCCCCCACCAGCACATGAAGAACTACCAGCTGCTGCTGTGCAAAGTTGCGTCCTGGATGAAACCAGGCGTGGATGACGTGGATGCTGTTCTTCATCAAACATCTCTCTTTCCCTCCCCTCATTCGCGTGATAGGAGTCTAGTTTTGAGGTGCCTCAAAACTAGATTCCCCCATTCTGCTCCCAATGTCTCCCCCCCTTCTCCCACCAGCACATGAAGAACTACCAGCTGCTGCTGCGCAAGGTTGCGTCCTGGATGAAACCAGGCGCGCTCCTCTTCATTCACATCTTCACTCACAAGGACTTCGCCTACCACTTCGAGGTATATGGTCAAACTTGGCTGTTACAGCATGTGTGTACGCGACTGCCCGGATCATCGATTAGTGCGAAGACGCGCTCCTGTTTGTCCACATTTTCACGCACAAGGACTTTGCTCACGACTTCGAGGTACGACCTTGTACAGATGTAGTGGGATGCGGCTCTTGGGTTGACTGGGCGGGTGATCAGATGCGCTCCTCTTCATTCACATATTCGCTCACAAGGACTTCGTGTACCACTTGTGGGTAGCCATACCTCGCAAGCGTACCACTTGGAGGTATGGTGAAGCAGGGGTGTGATGATGCCTGCTGATGTAGATTGTGGGGGACTGAGGTACTGACCAGACGCTCTCCTATTCATCCACATCTTCACTCACAAACGTAACACTTTGAGGTCCCTTACAGTAAAATGAAACGATGGTACCCAGTGCTATCATATGCATCATAATATGTTAAGTTCCACGCAAGCATGTGCACACATGCCTCATTATTTGCCGTTTCATCCTGTCGAATTCACTATATTCACACCCGTTACAGGACGCGGGAGCGGACGACTGGATGACGCGGCATTTCTTCACGGGCGGCACCATGCCAGCCGACAAGCTGCTGCTGTACTTCCAGGACGACCTCAGCATTGCCAACCACTGGTGCCTGAACGGCACGCACTACCAGCGCACGAGGTGAGAGGGCATGTGGCTAGTGTGTGCGTGCACATACGAGTGGGTGTGGCTGTGCTCACACAATGCCGGCCGACAAGCTGTTGCTGTACTTCCAAGACGACCTCAGCATCGTGAACCACTGGTGCTTGAACGGCACGCACTACCAGCGCACAAGGAGAGAGTGCGTGTATGGAGAGAATGTGTTAACACGCAACAAGCTGCTGCTGTGCTTCCAGAACAATAGAAGCATTGCCAACCATTGGTGCCTTAACGGCACACCTTACCATGAAACCAGGTGTGAGTGAGTGAATGAGTGAGCGAATGTAGGGGTCAGTGTGTAACGCACCTGCGGTCCTGTGGGCATGCATGCATGCATGCTTGCATGACTTTTGAGTCGACTCAAAAGTCTGTTCGGACCTGTGGACTTTTGGGCATCCATGCATACATTCGTGAATGGGCGGGCATTTCTGTATGCATTTGTGCATGCATAGAAATCACCACCAGAGAGGTTCCCTTTTTCCATTGTCAAACCTTGTCGTCTGATTTGTTCCATCCTCGTTCGCTGTGCAGTGAGGCATGGCTGCGTAACTTCGACTCCAACATCGCCCAGCTCAGGCCGATCCTAGCGGAGACGTATGGCAAGGAGGCAGCCACCAAGTGGACCGTGTACTGGCGCACCTTCTTGGTTGCCGTGGCAGAGCTGTTTGGCTGTATGCGTGTATATCCCCCCACACCAGCAGAGAGTTTTCAAGTTTCCTTCCCCCCCCGCTTCCCCCTCCCTCTCTCTCTCTCCCCCCTCCCTGATCCTTTTCCCTTGTTCGTTGTGCAGTGAGGCATGGCTACGTAACTTTGACTCAAACATTGTCAAGCTCCGGCCGATCCTAGCGGAGACGTACGGCAAGGAGGCAGCGACCAAGTGGACGGTGTACTGGCGCACCTTCTTCATCGCCGTGGCAGAGCTGTTTGGCTACTCCAAAGGTCAAGAATGGATCGTTTCCCACTACCTCTTCCGAAAGAAGCAAGCATAGGGGACATCTATATTGACTCAAGAGTCGCCTTCTTCAGTGCCTTAGCGGAGCTGTTTGATTGTTGTGGGAGTGGGTTGTTTCTAATTACCTCCTATTGAAAGAATCAAGCATAGGTAAGATCGGGGAATGTTTTATAGGGGACCATAGTAAATACATCGCCGTACCATAGCACTGATATTGAAGAGTTTGTTCTATTCAACCAATAAATTCGTACATTAACAAATATTTAGTATGGATAGTTGAGCACAGGTATGTTTTTGCCTAGTTTTTCTATGACCTGTTTTTGCTGGATGTAACGGATGAGTCAAATATGGCGCAGCGAGATCCTTCAAGTGTCATAATGTTTCATGTCCCAAACTTGGTGACGAGAAACCCACGAGCCAATAGAGAAGCGGACTTTCACGCATCCACCAATCAAAGACGCGCGGCCACGCCAATCTCTAGAACTGTCGTCCAGAAGAGCTGTTTCCCTTGGGAAGTCCGGGTTCCAGATTCTCAGCTGGGCTGAGTGTGCGTCTGATCGCGGCTGGGACAGGTGCTTTTCGGCTGAGAAGGATCAAACATTCCCTGAAGCGGTTGGGTAGGGTATTGAGCGAAATCGTACGATTGAACCAAACCAGCTCCTCCACTGCTGCGTATAGGGCGTGTCACATTTTTTACGAACAGCTTCCGAACCGCTATTCATAATATAAAACGCAGAAAAACACACTATACCCCTTTCAACCTCTCTGAATGGTCGACCCTGAGTGGTGTTCGTGAAAAATGTGACACGCCCTAAAACGGAGCAGTGGAGGAGCTCCGATCTGACAGAGGCTTGGTTGGATCTGAATGGGCACTGGCTCGCTCTTCACAACTGTCCTCAAAGCAGCAGCATTCTTTCTGGTATGCACTGATCCTCTTCTTCAGTGATCGCTGCACTGATGCGGCAGCTGCTGGCGACGTTCCCTGACAGCTGATTTAGCTTCACCAGGCCTCCGTAGTCTTCGTTTTCGGCAGAGAAAGTACCCCTCATTGGTAATTTAGCTCCGGGGAAACGTAGTCTTCTGTGAGATCAACCCAAGTGCTGTCACACAGAAAAGGACCTGACTGGCGCTCGACCAGAACAAGGAAGGTGTTGCATTCTAGGAGGATTAAGGCCGGAGGCTGCGAGCGAAACAGCTAGATTGAGATAAACTCTAGCTTGACAATACCCGATCCGAACAATCGTTTCCGTTTGGCTGAAATGGCTTCGTTTCGAGGACCGCTGCTGTTGCTAGCAGCTTGCTTGCTCCTGACTATTCAATGCTGCTGTGCAAGGTGTGTGCCATGGTTATTCTGATCTGTTCCCTTCGTGAGGAGTCTAGTCTTGAGGCCTAAAAAATAGACCTCTGCTGCTGCTGGCAGCTAGCTTGCTCCTGGCTATTCAATGCTGCTGCGCAAGGTGTGTCCCATGGTGATCCTGATCTGCTCGCTTCTCCCTAGCTCATTTATCGTTTTTGTGGCTGCTTTCGTTACTGTCGGTGCTTGCAATAAGACTCAAGCGCCCATTGTGCTTTTAGTTTCTCGTTCTGCAATGCAACGCTGTGATTTTTTTGTTTTTGATTCGCAAGACTGACGATTTTTTTAAATTTTCTCTTGGGATGTTGGTGGATGTTCAACAATTCTCCCGGCTGGATGCTCTCTCTGACCCTCACGGCTGGATGCTCTCTCTGACCCTCACTGCGCAGTCGCAACTACTACGATATTCTTCAGGTGAGCTCCACACGCAGGAAAAGGTGGTGTTTTGGTTCAAGCGTGAGTATTTTGGGGTCGTACCAGCAGAAATCGACAAGACAGCGGAGGATACAACACGCAAAATCTCGTAAATTTCCCAAAAATTATTTCAGGACAGATTTGAGGCTCTTCAAATTGATGAGTTTCACTCGGAATTGGGACCTAGAGACATCACCTCACGAGAATTGTCTCGCTGAATCCCGTGCAGGTGCCGCGATCGGCCAGCGAGGACCAGATCAAGCGCGCGTACCGCAAGCTGGCGCTCAAGTTCCACCCGGACAAGAACCCGGGGGACGAGGAAGCAAAGAAGCGGTTCCAGGAGATCGGCAACGGTGAGTTTTTGAATCAGCTCAACATCACCCTTAGCGTCAGTTCTTTCGAGTCGACTCAGAAGTCCACTCAACGGTAAGGCCGTTCAGTCGACTCGGAAGCTGGCGCCTACCGCAGGCTGGCGCTCACGTTCCATCCGGACAAGAACCCGGGGGACGAGGAAGTAAAGAAGCGGTTCCAGGAGATTGGGAACGGTGAGTTCTTCTCTCTGAAGCGCTTTAGTCGTCCCTACCGCAGGTTAGCCCTCAAGTCCCGTCCGGACAAACATCTGGAGAACGAGATCGGGAGATGTGGACGTTTTCCTCCTTTCTTCGTTAGCTGGTTGTGCTCGCTCTTCTACGCTAGCCACACCTTGAGGCCTGACTCCACTTACTCCCAACTCGATGTCCCCTCCTGCTTCTCCTGTGGAGGACTACAACGAAAACGAACTGTGTTATCGTTATCATGCATCGAGTACGACGATATCGATGCATCAAGTACGACGATATCGATGCATCGACTCAGAGTATCCATGATTTGGTTTCCAAAGCTCCCTTTTCTCATGGCCGCACTTGGCGTCTGCCTATGAGGTGCTGTCGGATGGGGAGATGCGGCGGGATTACGACCAACGTGGGGAAGAGGCGGTGAGGCAGCAGCAACTTCTTCCTTTGAGTCGACTCAAAAGCGGATGGGAAGAAGCGGCAGGATTGCAACCAACACGGGGAAGAGGCTGGCTGTGGGGCAGCAGCAACTCCCTTCCTTTTCTGCACCCAGCTCCAAGAGTCCCATTTCCTTTCCCTGCATTCCCTGACTGCTCCCTGTATATCCGACCTAGAAGGTGACTTTTGAGTCCACTCAAAAATGCTCCCTGTATATCCGACCAAGAAATGAAGAGAAGTTCTCTCGGACGGGGAGAAGGGGCGGAGCTACGAGCAGCACGGGGGGAGGGCGAGCGTGAAGCAGCACAGCGCGCGCACCCCCCTTCCTTTTCCGTACCCAACGTCCGATTTCTCGCGCCTGTTTTCTGCGTACGAGGTCCTTTTGGACGGGGAGAAGTGGCGCATCTACGACCAACACGGGGAGGAGAGTGTGAAGCAGCACAGCGCGCAGCAACGCGCTTCCCTCCCTTCCCTCCCTTCCCTCCCTTCCCTCCCTTCCCTCCCCTTCCCTCCCCTTCCCTCCCATTCCCTCCCCTTCCGTCCCGCACATTCCCCCAGCGTACGAGGTCCTTTCGGATGGGGAGAAGCGGCGGATCTACGACCAGCATGGGGAGGAGGGCGTGAAGCAGCACAGCGCGCAGCAGGCCGGAGGTGGAGGGGGCTTTGGCCAAGACATATTCTCGCAGTACGTCCATCCTTGATAGGCTGTTTAAGGTGCCTCATAAGGGGGCTTTGGCCAAGACAAATTCTCATAGTCCGTACAGGTTGGATGGATCAATGCCTGTGACGTCTTTGGTCAAGACAAGATCTCACGTCACAGAACGTCCATATCAACGTTATACCCGCATTCCCAGAAGTGACTGGTGAGTCAACTCAATAGTCACCTAAGCAACCAGCACCCGCAGCAGGCTTATATAGATGCTATGCAATGCTCGTCATACCACGCTTAACGTCGGTCGATTTGACGGTCGGCTGCTCCTTGTGCCATTCCAAATGCAGGTTCTTTGGCGGGTTTGGGGGTTTCGGGCAGCAGCAGCAGGAGGAGGAGGAGACTCCAAAGGGTGATGCAGTCGCAGTTGACCTGGAGGCGTCGTTGGAAGACCTTTACAATGGCCGGTCGTTCCAGGTGGGTGTGACTCAACTGTTCAGCTCGCGCACGGTGCTGAAGCTTTGGTAACACAGATGACTCCAAAGGGCGACGCAGTCACAGTTGACCTGGAGGCGTCGTTGGAAGACCTTTACAATGGCCGGTCGTTCCAGGTGGGTGTGACTCTGGTGTGCAACTCTCGCACGGTGCGGAGGCAATTCGAGATGTCTCAAAAGGTCACACCAGTGCTGTTGACCTCGAGGCGTCGCTAGAAGACCTTTACAATGGCAGGTCGTTTTAGGTGGGTGGTGTGACTCTCTTCTGTGCACCTCGTGGAGCTTTCTATTGAGGGTTTCAGCCGCCTCTATTGGAGCCCTCGCTAGAAGGCCTTTGAGCTGCACGTGAACGTGGTGTTAGCTGCACCCAGCAAGCGACCTTTGAGTCGCCTCTAAAGCCCGTACCTCTCTCTATGTCTTCCCCTATGCGCGTGTCCGCTTTCCCTGCAGCCTGCAGGTGTGGCAAGACAAGAACGTGGTGCGATGCGAACGACACCCGGAGAGCGAATGTTTTGTTGTCTCACATGTCCCTTCCGTCTCATTGTCCTGCCTTCCTCCCTACCCACCGCCTGTGTGCGTGAACCTGCTCGCTCTGGAGGAGTAGCGAGACAAGAACGTGGTGCGAGCTGCACCCAGCAAGCGACCTTTGAGTTTTTCTCAACTCCTTTTCCTCGCGTCATCTTGCCTGCTCGCCCTGCAGGTGTGGCGAGACAAGAACGTGGTGCGAGCTGCTCCTGGCAAGCGCAAGTGCAACTGCAAGGCGCGGATGGTGACGCGGCAGATCGCCCCGGGCATGTTCCAGCAGTTCACTCAGGAGGTGGGTCCACCGTCTACTCAGGCTAGTTCTACCAGTATGCATACACTTTACACATGCGTGGGCTCCTTTTGAGTCGATTCAAAAGGTGGGTCTTTTCAGGCTAGTTCTACCAGTATGCATACACTTAACACATGAGTGCGCCTCTGCAACTGCAAGGCGTGGATAGTGACGAGGCAGATCGCCCCGGGCATGTTCCAGCAATTCACACAGGAGATGGGTGGGTGGGTGCATATAATAGGTGGGTGGGTGGGTGCATATAATAGGTGGGTGGGTGCGTGCATATAATAGGTGGGTGGGTGGGTGCATATAATAGGTGGGTGGGTGGGTGCATCACATGCTCTACATCATCTTTTATCTTACAGGAGTGCCAGGAGTGCCCCAATGTGGAGTGCCAACCCACCCACCCACCCACCCACCCACCCAATGCGGGAGGGCACGGCCATTGATGTGGACATTGAGCAGCCACTCATCCCTCATTCGTTGCGCTATGCTGGGCATGCCATGCTCCTCATCGGCACATCTCTCTACATGAGTGCCAGGAGTGCCAGGAGTGCCAGGAGTGCCGCAACGTGAAGTATGTGCAGGAGGGCATGTCATGCCCATTTTGCTGCTCACCATGTCAGACCCTCTACCCTGCTCAACACGATCTTATGCCCCACAGGAGTGCCAGGAGTGCCCCAACGTGAAGTACGTGCGGGAGGGCATGCCCATCGATGTGGACATTGAGAAGGGCATGAAGGACGGGCAGGTGAGAAAATGTGCACGGGCAGATGGGAAGATGCGCGTGGGCAGGTGAGAATCTGCACACGGGGAGCAGGAGAGTTAGGGATGACTTTAGAGTCGACTCAAAAGTCACCTAAGGAGAGCTAGGGATGACTTTAGAGTCGACTCAAAAGTCACCTAAGGAGAGCTAGGGATGACTTTAGAGTCGACTCAAAAGTCACCTAAGGAGAGCTAGGGATGACTTTAGAGTCGACTCAAAAGTCACCTAAGGAGAGCTAGGGATGACTTTAGAGTCGACTCGAAAGTCACCTAAGGAGAGCTAGGGATGACTTTAGAGTCGACTCAAAAGTCACCTAAGGAGAGCTAGGGATGACTTTAGAGTCGACTCAAAAGTCACCTAAGGAGAGCTAGGGATGACTTTAGAGTCGACTCAAAAGTCACCTAAGGAGAGCTAGGGATGACTTTAGAGTCGACTCATAAGTCACCTTGCTGGGGAGCAGGAGAGTTAGGGAACGGTGAGCAAGAGTTGTACAAGCAGCCAGACTGGAGCCTGGATTGGAAGCATCGAAGGCACGGGTGGCAGCTTGATGTCAAGTCAAGGCTGGTCGTGTGCTTTCCTTCTTCCCATAGCGTGCAGCAGATCACGTTCTATGAGGAGGGAGAGCTGGTTATGGATGGCGACCATCAGTTGTAACTCACCTTTAGCACTTGTGCGTTCAACACACTTGCACTTGTGCGTTCAACACACTTGCACTTGTGCGTTCAACACACTTGCACTTGTGCGTTCAACACACTTGTATTGTACTGTATCTCACGGTTGTCCTATGTGTGCTGGCCCTCGTCATTCTCACGCATGCAGGAGATCACGTTCTATGAGGAGGGAGAGCCGGTTATGGATGGCGATCCTGGCGACCTCAAGGTGCATCTCTCTACTGCCTCTAGTGCCTTTCTCTAGTGCATGTCTAGTGTGTCTTGCATGCCGGTCGCTGGTGCACCTTGGACCAGCTACCTCTCATGCTCTCTCTCTCGTTCTATGAGGAATGAGAGCTGGTTTTGGATGGTGATCCTGGCGACCTCAAAGTGTGCCCCCCCCTTGTTTCCACATTTTCTCTCCCATGGTCGACTAGTTTCCTTCTTCTTTTCCGACTAGCATGCTTTCGTTTTCCTGAGCACAAACCCTTAGCCCTACACGACCCTTGTATCTCGTTTCCTCGTCTACAAATCTATCTCCCCATGGACGTCCCACCTCCCCCTTGCCCACCCTCTTCTCTAAATCCGTCTTGTAATAATTGTTTGCCCCTCTCCTTGTCCACCCCCCACGCTCTCTTCCCTTATTGTAGTTTGCAATCCTTTTCTCACCTGCTATTGTGTGCTCTGGCGTGTACCTGGTGACCAAATCACAGCCACATAAACGCTCTCCACCCTCTCGTCCCCAACCCCCCACCCTGCCATGCCACCCACCACCCTCCCCCCCTGCTATTGCGTGGCGTATCCTGCAGCTCGTGATCAAGACGCGCCCACACAAGCAATTCGAGCGGAGAGGGGACGACCTGCACATGAACCTCACCATCTCCCTCGTACGTTCTCACGCCATGGATTGGCATGCACACCCTGCTTCCCTACTCGGGATTCGAGTCGTCTCAATACTCAATCTGAACGGAGAGGGGGCGACCTGCACATGAACCTCACCATCTCCCTCGTACGTTCTCACGCTATGGACTGCCATGCGCGCCTTGGGGTTCTGAAACGTTTCAAAGGTCAATTCGAGCGGAGAGGGGAGGACCTGCACATGAACCTCACCATGTCTCTCCTACGTTCTCACGCCATGGATTGCCGTGCACACCCTGCTTCCCTACACGGGATTCCAGTCGTCTCAAAACTCAATCTGGGAGGAGAGTGGATGGCTTCACATGAACCTCCCTATCCCCCTCGCTTGCACTGCTTCTTTTTTTTTTTTAATAATTCTAAAAAACAAAACACACCCTCGCTTGCACTGCTTTCTTTTTGAGAATTCTCAAAAACAAAACACACCCTCACTTGCACTGCTTTCTCACACCCTTTCTCACACTCCCGGAACGAAATCACTAACTCAGCTCTGCACTCTGCCACACTCTCAGCCACGACGAGCTAGAGTGATCCATTTTCTCAAGTTATCACTCCCAGGTGTTTCCACATGCTCCCATGTGTCGCACTCTCCAGTTCGCCTGGAGGTGGATGCTCTCGTGGGCTTTAAGCACTCCATCACCCACCTTGCCAATCTCTCACTCCCATGTGCTTTCATCTCCTGCTGCTCCCCACATTCATGCCTGCAACCCTGCATTCTTATTCTCAGGTGGATGCTCTCGTGGGCTTTAAGCACTCAATCACCCACCTCGACAACCATCTTGTGGAAATCGGCACCTCGGTAAGTGCTAGGATGGCTGGACCCATAGAAATATTGAAGCCAGGTGGCTTTGAGTTGATTCAGCAGCCACCGTCACTCACCTTGAATATCTTGTGGAAGTCGGGACCTCTGTAAGTGTTGTCGGTAGGATGGCCTGAACGCATACAAGTGTTACAAGCAGGTGGCTTTGATTTGACTCGGCAGCCACCATCAATCACCTTAGCAGCCATGTCGTGGAATTTGGGACCTGGGTAAGTATTACAAAGATCCTGACTCCAAGATCTTTGCCTGTGGTTCAAGGTTGAAGTGATACTGCCAGGCAGAGGAGGACCTGACGAGGTAGTGCTGTGGTACAAGGGTTGGGACATCGATCAGAAATACAGCCAGGTGAAGGAGTCAGAAGTCACTTCATCACCCACCTGGTCCGCCTTCACGTGGACGTGAGAACATCTAAGTGTCTGGATGATCGGGGCCCTTGAATTTCTTGCAATTCTCACGCTTTAATCTCCCGATGGTCTCCCCTTGCATGTGACACGTCCAGGGGAGGTGTGTGGGATAGAGGGCGAGGTCATGCCATTTTTTTTGGCATGTTCTCAAAGTCTTCTCCTCCCTTGGTCTCCCCTTACAGCCCCTAGGGTGTCATGCGTCCAGGGGAGGTGTGCAGGATAGAGGGCAATGGCATGCCGATCTACGACAGCACCATGAAACGTGACCTCATGACCTATGTGCTAGTGATGTTCACCCGTACAACTCTCCTTCTCCCTTGGTCTCCCGTTACAATTCCCTTTCAGGGTGTTACTCGTCCAGGGGAGGTGCGCAGGATAGCGGGCGAGGGCATGCCGATCTACGACACCGCTAACAAGGGGGATCTTTACGTGCAGTTTACTGTAGACTTCCCCAAGTCCCTCACGGAGGACCAGAAGGAGGTGGTGCGGAAAACGTTTGGGGGCTCAAGCGGCATGCCTAAGGGAAGCGGCAGGTTGCACGAGGAGTTGTGATGGTCCACAAGAAGGGGGCCCTTCATAGGTGATATTTACTGTAGAATTCCCCAAGTATTCCCCAGAGGACCAGAAGGAGATTGCTCGGAAAACGTTTGGGGGCTCAGGCATGTCAAATGGCGATACCGGTAGCAGATCGCATGCGGAGTAGTGAGGAAGATGGTCGCTAGGAGTGCAATTTATTGTGGGCTTCCCCAAGTCTCAGACAGGACCAGACGAGGTTGTGCGCTTCAACTCAAGGGGTGCATGTGGCACAGCAGCAGATTGCAGGAGCTGTGGAGCTGTCGGTGGGCTGTTGGCCTGTCATTCATCATTATGCCAATTTTGGTACATTGCACGCATACCCATTTCGTGTCACGCCGTTTGCCACATCACATGAAAGAAATAGGTAATGAATTGTGTTTGCATGCTGAATGATTAGCTAACGTTTGTCATTCTCGGACTAGTTAAATGAGACCACTTCATGCCCCGTGACTAACTTGGTAATCTACCCCTAGATTCTCTTTTGGACTATCTCACAAGCTACCCTAATTATTGCGACTGGGTTTCAAAGTGGTATCCTAACAAGCAGGTTTAAATTTGTTGTATCGAATCACTCCATATTCTGCCTTCTGTCTCACAGAGACGATCACCACTTTCCCCACCACGATAGTCTCTAGGTGCCTAGATCCTCACATATGCGTGTCGTCACTTATCCCATACCTTAGAATCCGACTTCGTGATTCCTCTGCGTAACCCTTTTTTGTGTGGTAGCTTTGACACTTCTGGTTCTTCCAGGAGCTAGAGGTTCTCTTGTATCGAATCTGCGACCCAGTTCTTAGGGTGTTCTTAGTTCTTAGACGTCTCGCAGACCCGCAGTGGCATAATGGAGATCGATCCCCAGCCTTCAAGCGCCGAAAAATCCGCCGCGAATGCCGCTGCGGCCGAAGGTTCGTCGCCCGCTGCTGACGGCGAGCAGCACCGACGTGGCATTCCCGTGGCGCAGTTCGTCGCTGACGTGGAGGCGTTTCTGGCGGGAAGAGAAGCGCCACCTGTCATCCAATCACTGGAGGAGAGGTAGGTAACGTTAGAATTCTTATCCTTGTCGCTTTACACATCTACAGCTCGCAGTCTTCCCGTGTTACGTCGTTTGTAGCGTCTGCGGACTTGCGTGGTGCGTCGTAATTGGGAGGAATCTCGTCAGTTTTTGCGGCGTCTTTTGAGGCGCCTCAAAAGGAATCTCGTCAGTTCTTGCGGCGTCTTTTGAGGCGCCTCAAAAGGAATCTCGTCAGTTCTTGCGGCGTCTTTTGAGGCGCCTCAAAAGGAATCTCGTCAGTTCTTGCGGCGTCTTTTGAGGCGCCTCAAAAGGAATCTCGTCAGTTCTTGCGGCGTCTTTTGAGGCGCCTCAAAAGGAATCTCGTCAGTTCTTGCGGCGTCTTTTGAGGCGCCTCAAAAGGAATCTCGTCAGTTCTTGCGGCGTCTTTTGAGGCGCCTCAAAAGGAATCTCGTCAGTTCTTGCGGCGTCTTTTGAGGCGCCTCAAAAGGAATCTCGTCAGTTCTTGCGGCGTCTTTTGAGGCGCCTCAAAAGGAATCTCGTCAGTTCTTGCGGCGTCTTTTGAGGCGCCTCAAAAGGAATCTCGTCAGTTCTTGCGGCGTCTTTTGAGGCGCCTCAAAAGGAATCTCGTCAGTTCTTGCGGCGTCTTTTGAGGCGCCTCAAAAGGAATCTCGTCAGTTCTTGCGGCGTCTTTTGAGGCGCCTCAAAAGGAATCTCGTCAGTTCTTGCGGCGTCTTTTGAGGCGCCTCAAAAGGAATCTCGTCAGTTCTTGCGGCGTCTTTTGAGGCGCCTCAAAAGGAATCTCGTCAGTTCTTGCGGCGTCTTTTGAGGCGCCTCAAAAGGAATCTCGTCAGTTCTTGCGGCGTCTTTTGAGGCGCCTCAAAAGGAATCTCGTCAGTTCTTGCGGCGTCTTTTGAGGCGCCTCAAAAGGAATCTCGTCAGTTCTTGCGGCGTCTTTTGAGGCGCCTCAAAAGGAATCTCGTCAGTTCTTGCGGCGTCTTTTGAGGCGCCTCAAAAGGAATCTCGTCAGTTCTTGCGGCGTCTTTTGAGGCGCCTCAAAAGGAATCTCGTCAGTTCTTGCGGCGTCTTTTGAGGCGCCTCAAAAGGAATCTCGTCAGTTCTTGCGGCGTCTTTTGAGGCGCCTCAAAAGGAATCTCGTCAGTTCTTGCGGCGTCTTTTGAGGCGCCTCAAAAGGAATCTCGTCAGTTCTTGCGGCGTCTTTTGAGGCGCCTCAAAAGGAATCTCGTCAGTTCTTGCGGCGTCTTTTGAGGCGCCTCAAAAGGAATCTCGTCAGTTCTTGCGGCGTCTTTTGAGGCGCCTCAAAAGGAATCTCGTCAGTTCTTGCGGCGTCTTTTGAGGCGCCTCAAAAGGAATCTCGTCAGTTCTTGCGGCGTCTTTTGAGGCGCCTCAAAAGGAATCTCGTCAGTTCTTGCGGCGTCTTTTGAGGCGCCTCAAAAGGAATCTCGTCAGTTCTTGCGGCGTCTTTTGAGGCGCCTCAAAAGGAATCTCGTCAGTTCTTGCGGCGTCTTTTGAGGCGCCTCAAAAGGAATCTCGTCAGTTCTTGCGGCGTCTTTTGAGGCGCCTCAAAAGGAATCTCGTCAGTTCTTGCGGCGTCTTTTGAGGCGCCTCAAAAGGAATCTCGTCAGTTCTTGCGGCGTCTTTTGAGGCGCCTCAAAAGGAATCTCGTCAGTTCTTGCGGCGTCTTTTGAGGCGCCTCAAAAGGAATCTCGTCAGTTCTTGCGGCGTCTTTTGAGGCGCCTCAAAAGGAATCTCGTCAGTTCTTGCGGCGTCTTTTGAGGCGCCTCAAAAGGAATCTCGTCAGTTCTTGCGGCGTCTTTTGAGGCGCCTCAAAAGGAATCTCGTCAGTTCTTGCGGCGTCTTTTGAGGCGCCTCAAAAGGAATCTCGTCAGTTCTTGCGGCGTCTTTTGAGGCGCCTCAAAAGGAATCTCGTCAGTTCTTGCGGCGTCTTTTGAGGCGCCTCAAAAGGAATCTCGTCAGTTCTTGCGGCGTCTTTTGAGGCGCCTCAAAAGGAATCTTGTCAGTTCTTGCGGCGTCTTTTGAGGCGCCTCAAAAGGAATCTCGTCAGTTCTTGCGGCGTCTTTTGAGGCGCCTCAAAAGGAATCTCGTCAGTTCTTGCGGCGTCTTTTGAGGCGCCTCAAAAGGAATCTCGTCAGTTCTTGCGGCGTCTTTTGAGGCGCCTCAAAAGGAATCTCGTCAGTTCTTGCGGCGTCTTTTGAGGCGCCTCAAAAGGAATCTTGTCAGTTCTTGCGGCGTCTTTTGAGGCGCCTCAAAAGGAATCTCGTCAGTTCTTGCGGCGTCTTTTGAGGCGCCTCAAAAGGAATCTCGTCAGTTCTTGCGGCGTCTTTTGAGGCGCCTCAAAAGGAATCTCGTCAGTTCTTGCGGCGTCTTTTGAGGCGCCTCAAAAGGAATCTCGTCAGTTCTTGCGGCGTCTTTTGAGGCGCCTCAAAAGGAATCTCGTCAGTTCTTGCGGCGTCTTTTGAGGCGCCTCAAAAGGAATCTCGTCAGTTCTTGCGGCGTCTTTTGAGGCGCCTCAAAAGGAATCTCGTCAGTTCTTGCGGCGTCTTTTGAGGCGCCTCAAAAGGAATCTCGTCAGTTCTTGCGGCGTCTTTTGAGGCGCCTCAAAAGGAATCTCGTCAGTTCTTGCGGCGTCTTTTGAGGCGCCTCAAAAGGAATCTCGTCAGTTCTTGCGGCGTCTTTTGAGGCGCCTCAAAAGGAATCTCGTCAGTTCTTGCGGCGTCTTTTGAGGCGCCTCAAAAGGAATCTCGTCAGTTCTTGCGGCGTCTTTTGAGGCGCCTCAAAAGGAATCTCGTCAGTTCTTGCGGCGTCTTTTGAGGCGCCTCAAAAGGAATCTCGTCAGTTCTTGCGGCGTTCATACAGGTGTGTTGTGCTTTTGAGTCGACGCAAAACACATCTACAGCTCCCGGTCTTTGCGTGGTGCGTCGTTTGTGGCGTCTGCGGACTTGCTTGGTGCGTCGTAACGGGGGAATCTCCTCATTTCTTGCCTCGATGCAACGCCTCTTCAGAACTTAATTCGTATTGCCTAGTGGTCTGCTGCTCGAGGCGTTATATCGTTTCTGGGAATCTCGTCATTTGTTGCCTTCACACAACGCCTCGTTAGAATTGAGCTGGGGACACACTGTGACAATTGCAGGGGATTTGTTGGAAAGAAAGTGGAGAAATCTTATTGATGTGCTTGCTAGGACATCTGCAATAACTCCCGCTGCTATAACCCCTGCAGCGACCACCCCTGATGCTACCACCCTGATGCTACCACCCTGATGCTACCACCCCTGAAGCCACCACCCCTGAAGCTACCTACCAACCCTGCGGTGATTGCATTTCTTTGTCGACAAACTCGTGCCTGAGGATGTGGTTTGTCGATCAGTCAGCAGCACTCCTCACTTCTTACTTACACCACATTTCACCGCACTCCACCCATCCCACATGCTCCTCAGGATGCAGCAGTACAAGCTTTTGAAGATTAAGCTGCTCACACGGCAGCCGGGCCTGCAGGTTTCAGATCACATCATGGCGCATATCGCATCTCACCATATCTCACCGCATCTCTTTGTATCTCACCGTATCTCACCGCACTCCACTCCACCCACCCTATCAGGATGCAGCAGTACAAGCTTCTGGAGATTAAGCTACTCACGCAGAAGAGAGATTTGCAGGTGGGATTCACCGCGTGTCACTGCATCTCACTTCGCCTCACCGCACCGCACCTCGCTGCACCGCACTGGTACTGGTTTATGAACACTGCGTCCCTCCCTTATGTGTCTGAGTAAGCCACTGCTGTTGCCAGCGCTTGTTTGTTTGATTCCACCTTTGCTGCTTTGAGCAAGCAAGCCTGTGCGTCTCGATTGCCGTTCCCTCGCACCCCCTTTGCCGCATGAAGCTTCCGAATATAAAAAAGAGCCAAGAGAATTGCTCTTTGGCGCCCATGCTACAAATCACGCCTGCCGTTGCTGATTTTTCCTCCCCCTTCCTCCACACCAGTCGAAGCTTCCAGATATCAAGAAGAGCCAAGAGATCGTGCAAACACTTGTGACGAAGAGAGAGGAGAAAAAGGTACGGCGGCTGGCAGCTTTTGAGGCGACTATGAAGCTCGTAAGTATTTTTGAGGCGCCTCAAAAATAGATTTTGAGGCGAGTACGAATGAAGCTGGTAGTAAATATAGTCAAAAGAGCCGAGACATCGTGCAAACACTTGTGACGAAGAGAGAGGAGAAAAAGATACGGTGGCAGCTTTTGAGGCGAGGGCGAATGAAGCTGGTAAATATGGTAAAAAAAACCGAGACATCGTGCAAACACTCGTGACGAAGAGACATCGTGCAAACACTAGTGACGAAGAGACATCGTGCAAGCACTCGCGACGAAGAGACATCGTGCAAACACTCGTGACGAAGAGACATCGTGCAAACACTCGTGACGAAGAGACATCGTGCAAACACTCGTGACGAAGAGACATCGTGCAAACACTCGTGACGAAGAGACATCGTGCAAACACTCGTGACGAAGAGACATCGTGCAAACACTCGTGACGAAGAGACATCGTGCAAACACTCGTGACGAAGAGACATCGTGCAAACACTCGTGACGAAGAGACATCGTGCAAACACTCGTGACGAAGAGACATCGTGCAAACACTCGTGACGAAGAGACATTGTGCAACAGTTGTGACGAAGAGAGAGGAGAAAAAGATATGGTGGCAGCTTTTGAGGCGAGTGCGAATGAAGCTGGTGAAGTTATTTGAGGCGCCTCAAAAGCAGCTTTTGAAACGCGTAGGTACGAATGAAGCTGGTAAAGATAGTCAAACGAGCCAAGAGATCGTGCAGGCACTTGTGTTGTGAAGAAGGGAGAAGAGAAGCCCTCAGAGAAGAAAGAGGAATCGGCGGGTGTAATGGTGTCCGTGGACGGGTTTAAAGGCAGGCTGTCTATATTGCCGCTTTGTCTGAAGCTGGCCTGTTGTCTCAAGGACCAAGGAAGTTGACCACACACTGGCGGGGAAAAGAGAGAAGAAGCAGGACTAAGGAAGTTCGCCTGGATCATGTGCTGGCTCATGGGGTGTTCGCTCGTGCGGGTGTGAAGGATGCTTAGGGTTCTGCGCTTCTGTCGTGATGTTGGTCTTTCCAGGTCTCTCCTCCCTACTTGTCGCTCCCCTCCCCACATCCCTGCGATCCAATGCGTTGCAGCAAGTGCGTCTTTGATGTGGACTATGTGCCAGCCGATGGATGGGGGGTTCGCCTGATGGATGGGGTGTCCGCCCGATGGATGGGGTGTCCGCCCGATGGATGGGGTGTTCGCCCGATGGATGGGGTGTCCGCCCGATGGATGGGGTGTCCGCCCGATGGATGGGGTGTTCGCCCGATGGATGGGGTGTTCGCCCGATGGATGGGGTGTTCGCCCGATGGATGGGGTGTTTGCCCGATGGATGGGGTGTTCGCCCGATGGATGGGGTGTTCGTCCGATGGATGGGGTGTTCGTCCGATGGATGGGGTGTCCGCCCGATGGATGGGGTGTTCGCCCGATGGATGGGGTGTTCGCCCGATGGATGGGGTGTTCGCCCGATGGATGGGGTGTCCGCCCGATGGATGGGGTGTTCGCCCGATGCATGGGGTGTCCGCCCGAGGGATGGGGTGTTCGCCCGATGGATGGGGTGTTCGCCCGATGGATGGGGTGTTCGCCCGATGGATGGGGTGTTCGCCCGATGGATGGGGTTTTCGTCCGATGGATGGGGTGTTCGTCCGATGGATGGGGTGTCCGCCCGATGGATGGGGTGTTCGCCCGATGGATGGGGTGTTCGCCCGATGGATGGGGTGTCCGCCCTATGGATGGGATGTTCGCCCGATGGATGGGGTGTCCGCCTGATGGATGGGGTGTTCGCCCGATGGATGGGGTGTTCGCCCGATGGATGGGATGTTCGCCCATGCAGATGTGAAGGAGACTCAACGTTACCCTCACTATTCTTTCTTGAATTTGTACGCTCACTACCCTCTCATTTCATATTCTTGACATTTCACCGCCTGGTTCCAGCAAGTGCGTCTGGCTGGGCTATGTATTGGCCGACGGGGTATTCCCTCGTGCGGATGTGAAGGAGGTGCCGATTGAACTGGCGTCTGCGTCTTATGATGATGCCATCTTCTGCCCCCTTCACCACTCCTATTGCAGGAAGTGCGTCTGGACTACGTGTTGGCCGATGGGGTGTTTGCTCGCGCGGATGTGAAGGATGCTGACTCCGTGTGTCTGTGGCTGGGGGCCAATGTGATGGTGGAATACTCCTTTGATGAGGTCAGCATGATGTCAGCATAATGTCAGCATGTGATGCTGGTTATGCATGTGATGCTTGAAATGGCTGTGGTGTGTTCTCCTGTCCGGATGTGTGGGATGCTGATTCCATGGCCTGGAGCAACAGTGATGGTCGAATATTTATCCAATATGTATCCAATATGTATCCAATATGTACCCCCGCACACATGTTTGAACAGGATGTGGCTCGGTTGAAGTGCAATGAGGAATATGCCACAAGCAACTTTCAATGGCAACCAAATTAATAATCACTGTATCTATTTTGTTCCTTCCAACACACGTGTCTCAGGCTCTGGCTCTGTTGAAGCGCAACGAGGAGAATGCCACAAGCAGCCTTGCAAACATCGATGGCGATCTGCTGTTTGTGCGAGATCAAATCAACATTACCGAGGTACAGTAGACGACTGAGAGGTACAGTACCATTGGTATGATATGCTGTTCGTGCGAGATCAAATCAACATTACATAGGGTACAGTACAAGCATTTTTTGCAATTTTGCAACTGCCACCTTATGAGTCGTTTGTGATTTGTTTCGACTCCAGCATTGTTCCTCTAATGCACGCGAGTGAAGCGAGAATTGAGTACTTAGAGACGGCATGGGTGAGGTGTTGGACGGCCTATTCTAACCCAAGTAATGTTCCTCTATTGCAGGTGACTGTAGCGAGGGTGCACAACTGGGACGTCCAACGCAGAAGACTGGCTGGAGCTAGCAGCAGCAGTGGCGGTGCCCTGAGGGAGGGGATTGCTGCCTGAATAGGCTGCACTAGTGCGTAGAAGTGGCACATGCGCTACCAGTATCTGTGAGGTCATCAGTGCACAACTGGGACGTCCAGCGTAGAAGAGTCGCAGGAGCTGGCAGCAGCAGCAGCAGCAGCAGTGCCCTGAGGGAGGGGATTGCTGCCTGAGTGCCTGCATTTGTGCATCGAGATTATTGGAAATGAATTGTTGCTGGGGTGCTAGCTGTGCCACTAGAAAGGGTGACAGGGGGAGCTGGCAGCAGCAGCAGTAGCAGTATCAGAACCTATTGAGCAAGGGGGTTGTTGCTAGAATGTCTGCTGCTCAGTTTTCTTCAGTAATTATCCCTGTGTGAAAGGGCTGGATTTGTTTAGGTTAATTGTAGAGAGTGCAATACCGAGATCTGAGTCTGGTAGTGGGCCATGGTTATTGAATATTTAATTAATTTGCATAGCTGAGATACATGGCTTTCTACTATAGAATAAGCTTTGTAGATTTGATTTCTGTAAATATAGAAAACGCCACAAATATTACTAGAACTCAGCATTGTACACTTCACACAAGATATCACAACAAGGGACCCAATATTTCAGGAGAAGTTGGGATCAAGGGTCACATGCTGGCAAATGAATTACAGTTTTCGCAAGCTCGCAGTAACATTTCGCGAAGTCTTGTTGAAATCATCGTTTCTAGAGGCGAGGAGTCGCGATTTTCCGCAGCGAACGAGCGTGACATTCGAGCAAAACCAGAACGCCAAAGCACCGCGCCCTAACTGACATGATGGCTGCCAAATCAAACCCCGCGTACTGCGGAGAGAAAACGCAGAACTCGTACGACGTCATGAGACGACCTGGTGCTTCACTTCGCCTGGGGACACCCACCCACCCTAGCCGCACCCACCCTAGCCGCACCCACCCTAGCCACTCTATGACTGCCCCCGCCCTTCCGTGACACTTGTTTACCTCTACAGTTCAGGTATTTGGGTGTCAAGTGTTAGTGCTGTACTGTATTCGAGCCAGCCAATCACGGGCTTTCAAGTTCGCCAGCTAAGCGTTAGTTAAAGTCAAGCTGACTCTAATCCGACGCCTCGAAGGCTGTCTTCAGCAGTCACGACTCGTGTGACGGGCGCTGTTAGCCCGGGGTTCACGGAACGCAAATTCGACTCACGAATCACGATCGGTCACAGATACTAGACGAATAGTAGTTCTAATCAGGTATTTTGTGTAATTGCGGTTTTGAGTTCCGAATGGTCGCAATGCTTCCTGAAGATTCCGGATTTGTTAGACGATCCGTAGAATCCGGATCTTCAACCGGAATGTCGACGACAATCCGGACGTGCACCCTAGTACCGTGTGCCGCCCTGGTTGCGACGAAGCTGATTTGCCGCTGGCGGGTTCCCCGCAGGTATTTCCCCGCTGGCAGGAGGACCACGCTGACGCCCGGTTCCTGGCGAACTGACTGGACGTCCCTGACCTACGACGACCCTGACGTTCATAAACTTTTCTCCCAACTTCAACCCACTCGTACCAGCTCAGACTTGGCCGAATTTGGAGAGGTCCTCCTCCTCCTCCTCCTCCTCCCCCCCCCCACCCCCCCCCCCCCCCCCCTCCTTCTTCTGAAGGAGCATAATCTCCCACCCTCACTTCGCCTTCTGCTATGCCTGCCTACTAGAAATAGTGCTTTGGTCTTTGGCAGCTCAGGTTGCATCTGTTCTGCAGTCTGCCGTGGCTACTTTCCCAAACCAGGCCAGAGGTTATAGCTAGTGTGTCTTGAGTCACCATAGATCGCCCAGCGACAGAGCAGTACTAATCCCGCAACAGTAGTAGTGATGGCGAATCCCGCTATCACGGTGGGAAACAGGACGTGTCCTCTAGTTGGCTTCCGCAGGAAACAGTTCGTCCCAGGGACGATTTCTTCTGGGACAGGCTTGGGATCTCGGCTTTTGGTTATGATGCCGGCCCGAGGTAGCCCCTGGGTATCATCGCTCTGGCACATTGCGAAAGGAGCATTCGCGGTTACCGCTTTCGCGCTCATTACGTTCGCGCTGCTGATGGTCTGGGTGTACAAATTCTCGTCCGGCACGGGTCCCGATGTTGCAGCATTCCGCGATTCGTTCGACTCGTGCGTCGGAGTGGGTCTCTTGTACAAGGGGATGCACGCGATGCCATTTTTCCGCGGTATTGGCTGCTCCGGTCTGGTGAATGCAGCCGCGGTGCGCGGTAAAGCGGGCTTCGACAAGGGAAACGAGACTCGTTTCCGCAGCATGACCATTGGAGGTGACAGCAGCAGCAGCAGCGGCGGCGGCGGCGGCGGCGGCGGCGGCGGTGGCAGCAGCAGCAGCGAATCGCATGCTGCAGGAGGGTTGAATCTGGGAGGGAAGAGCCGGAGATTGCTGAATTCAGGAGTGGCGAATCCAGGGCGAGACGGTTGCCGGGTCGCGTATGACTCCAGCGTGGATCCTCGCGATATAAAGCCCACTTCGGCATTCACCCACTCTGGCTGCCAAATCGAATGGATCACTTTCTCCACTCGGTGCGGAAAAGGCGTTCAGCGCTTAGCTAATTTCTGCAACCTGGTGGGAGTTCCATTAGCAGTGCTCGGTTTGAACGAGACCTGGAAAGGACTAGGCGGCCGCGTGAGGTACTATCGGGAGTATCTAAGGACTCTACCGGGCGACCGGATTGTGATTGTAACGGATGCTGATGACGTCTTGCTCCTGCCCAATCGCGAGCTATGTGGTCCGGATCAACTCGTTAAAGCGTTCCTCTCCCTTAACGCACCAGTCGTTTTTGGAGCCGAGATTTTCGCATATCCAACAAGCAAGGTCATTCCGTTTTACCCGCAGAAGCTCAGGCCTCCATTTCCGAATTTGCGCCTTAACGCGGGGACTTATATCGGGTACGCATGGGCTTTATTGGAGGTGATAGACGCAACGTACACGGGTGACTGTATGGAGGATCAGCGACAGTTCATTACAGGTTACTTGGCCCAGCCGTTTCTCTTCAGCACCCTCCCACGGACGCCTTACCCTGAAGCGGACTACCCTTCGATACAGTCACTTCTTTCGCAGCAAACAAGCTCCCGTGCAAACGGAGCAGCAGCCATTTCTGCTGCCCGAAAATTCAAGGGTTTCCCGGCCCGTTACAGGACTCCGGCACCTGCTTCGCGCACTCTGAAATATCTGTGCACTCTGCCTGGGCGTTTGCAAGACCTTATTCCAGAGGGAATTACCCCCGGAAAGCTGGAAGAAGCCAGGCAAGCAGCACCGCCGCCATTTATCAAGCTAGACCACTACAATGCCCTAATAGAGCTCCTGGGAGGGCGGAAATTCGAAGAGTTTGAAGTGCAGGGGACCGGCACAAAGATCAAGGTGCATTCGCGGGTGACAGGAGCGTACCCGTGTGTCTTCCACCAGTCTGGAAACAAGCTGAAGAGGGGGGTGATGAATGAGATAGTGGAGAATGGGACTCTGGATGCCATTGCATTCGAAGGGATGGTAGCATAACACAGCATTGCGTGAGTGGTGGTTAAGCACCAACTGAAGCGCAATGCACGAAGTTTCCTTTTTAATATTACTACATATTGTGTGAATAACCTGAAGCTGGGTTGAACGGGAGTGTGGAGAAGTGGACGGGAATCTGAATGCCATTTCCAGTTTTCAGAACTGGACAAGAAAGTCGTTGGGTTTCTGCCATTGCAGCAATGAGCTGAACAGGGATACTAGTCAATGATTGGAGCAAGTAACCCTAGATGGATCTGAATGTTTGTAGAAGAGGTGTGTGTGAGGAGGAGAGGGGCCATGCGCGCACGCGCGACAGTTCTACAGAATTTTGACGTCTTTCCTGCTCGTGACCGCCCCACTCACCACCTTAGTCCCCTGCATCGTTAGCAGAGGCTAGTCCTAAAAGCTGAAGTGATATATCACCCCAATATTGGCTCGTGATGGCAAAATGCTCAACAGTTCAAGAAAACAGAGACAAACAAAAAAATATATGTCGCCCTTCACCTCAACACTGGCCGTCACATCAGCCCATGTGATTCCCCACCTGCAGCAGGCTGGCAAAGGGAACGTTAACCTAGATAGTTGCATTCCTTATTCACGCACCCACTCAAGCTGCCCCAATCAGCACAGCTTTAGAAACCACCCTCCCCTGGCTCTCAGAATCTGTTCCCCCTCTGGCTCTCAACCTCTGTTCCCCCCCTGGCTGTCAGCCTCTGTTCCCCCCCTGGCTCTCAGCCTCTGCTCCCCTCCTGGATCTCACTCTCTGTTCCCCCCTGGGCTCTCCCTCTCTGTTCCCCCCTGAGTTCTCACTCTCTGTTTACCCCCTGGGCTCTCACTCTCTGTTCTCCCCTGGGCTCTCACTCTCTGTTCCCCCTTGGGCTCTCACTCTCTGTTCCCACCTGGGCTCTCACTCTCTGTTCCCACCTGGGCTCTCACTCTCTGTTCCCACCTGGGCTCTCACTCTCTGTTCCCCACCTGGCTCTCACTCTCTGTTCCCCCCCTGGCTCTCACTCTCTGTTCCCACCTGGGCTCTCACTCTCTGTTCCCCATCTGGCTCTCACTCTCTGTTCCCCCCCTGGATCTCACTCTCTGTTCCCCCCCTGGCTCTTTCAGCCATTTCCTTTTCTTCTCATCCCACTCTTGTCATCCCCGCCCCTTGTTCCCCTTGTATCCCAGCTAGCCCCCCCTATCCCCCAGCCTCCCCTGTTCTGCAGCTCTCTCCTCCCTTGCCCCTCTCTCTTGTCCCCCTGCTCTCTCCTCCCCCCCTCTCTCCTGTCTCCTCTCCCCTTTCCGGGGCAAATACATTTTCTCCATTTGGCACTCCCCTTTCCAAACACTGACCCCTTTCCCTTTTCCTCCTCCCCCTTCTCCTTCCTTGTCAAGCATTCTCCCCATCCTCTACCCCTGTCACGTATGTTCTTCAATCACATGCGCTCTACCGTACCCTCATCCCTTCGCTCCCCATCTCCCAACCAATTTCCCCTCTCAATCCCGTCGCTCAACCCCTTGCTCAGGTTATCTTTCGTTGTACAGCAAATTCTTCTGCTCACTCATCACTCACCTTGCGACTCACTTATATTTTATCGGAACATCAGTAGCCAACTGTGTGTTCTAATCTATGTGAAAAAATATACTATAGAAAGTACACATCACACGCCCATTTAGCATTGCAATTTGTGGCGGACCTTTCTGCTGCAGCGTACCTAATATATTGTATTCACAAGTAGCATGAGCTTTACATGTCCATAGAAATGTTGCATTTGATATGTAGTTTTACATCGTGTTCTCTTGTAAGGAAATTCAATTCCTTACTGCGCTGAACTACAGCGCGTACACCCGAGACCTCGAACTCGCACGTTCGGCCTATATTGTCGGCCCAAAATCTCCTCGAGTCGAGTTCTGAGACCCTCGCCAACCATCCATCCAACCTCACATCCCGAGGTTCTCGCCCTAGCTCGTCCTAGCACGTCCGAGCCCTATTTTAACCAGTTCGCTCATCACTTGCTCTTTCAGTATTTTCCTAGTGTAAGGAAATGGTATTTCCTTACCAGGGTTTTAGTTAGTAAGGCGTACACTGCTATAACGGGGCTGCCTCGCAGCTCCACCATGGAAATCAAATTGCGGCATCCAAATGTGGTCTCCTGACGAACCACATGCATTTCGCCCGCCTTACATTTTCATGCCTAGATCAAGGCGCTTCGCGCTATTTTACAAACCACAGCGTATGCTCTAGGCCTGACTATATCCAGAATCCCTGTTGTTTAGATGTTGCCTCATTGTATTGTTTTCCTTGCTACTCAACTATTCGACACACACTCTTTGCGCTTCATTACATCTGACCATCAGAGCCAATGATCCTAAGCCGTGCGCTCAAGTCTTGTAACAACCCTTGCCCTTATAGCATGGGCAAACAAGGGTTGAAGTCAAAACCAACATCCAAGATCCTAGAATATAATAATGAAGTACGAAGTCAACTAGTGGTCTCCTAGCATTGTACTTAGGAAGAACCCCTTCTAAGAAGTAGCTTAAGCTTGAGAAAGTCTCTTGGATAATAGTACTTGAGGCTCTGGTTGGGTAGGGTTTCCACTCGGAGACTATACTAGAAGCTACTAGTGTAGGAAGGCTTGTGAGGAGAGCTCATGACTTAGAGAAAAATCCCATTTCAAGATTGATTTCTTGGAGTGGGAAGTTGAGGATGAGCTTCTCAGCCCAGACCCCTTCCAATGACTCCTAGCAGCTGCTGAACCTCCTCCATGGCTCCAAGGAGGTGAGAGAGCTTATGTGGCAAAGGGTTGGATTTCCAAACAATGAGAGGTTTACAACAATGTATTCAGATTAGCATGTAGTGTACAGCATATGAATATTCGAGTTGAGTTGGCATTGCCAACCAACTCCCTGATTCTGATTGGTCGCAAATCCAACCATCGCGTGTGTTGGAAATTTCGCCAACTCAATTTGTACAACTAAAATCTGATTGGTCCCAAGTATCGACCAATCCCAATCCTCCCATCCCAACCCTTCCTTCCCATCTCGCGCTACCTAGCGTAGGTAGCCAATTTGTGGAAGGTAGTTGGGACTGTTGTTTCTAGGCCCGCACACTGTGCAGAGGCCATGCGTTACAAGTCCGCTGCAATACCGACACTAGCAGAGGTTGACACCCTGTGTTTACCGCATATCCGTTGTCTTGGTAATACTGTATTAATCAATAATTACCTACAGCCACGACTGTGCTCGTAGTCCCAGCGTGTGGAAAGCCGCCTAAATTTCCGCAAAATGGTGGATCCATCGTCATCTAACGCCATGACTGCTGAAGAAAGGGCGTCAACACTCGAAGAAGTGTGTTTTTACTAACGAGTTGAATCTATTATAGGATTGAATGAGGTGTGCTCAATGTTGCACTATCAATCAGTACAAGGTGTTTTTAACCAGGTTTGTCCTATTCAAATAAAATAAACCCTTCTAGAAATAGAATCACGATGCGTATAGCCATGCGAGACTATTGGCTTTAAGGGATTACGACATGATTACGCTAGAAATAGCGTGCCAGTACATCTCGAGCCTGGTCGGAGATATAATTATAATAACAGGATAAACCAAAGGATAATGAAAAATTAGGAATATGAAACCAAATAAATCAAGATAAAAGAGGAATAGACAGAAATATGGAAATGGGAAAATGGTGTAACGGGGTCGTACTCTCACAGTATCAGCAGGAGTTGGTACGACTGGAGCTGAAAATTCCCAAGCCGAATCCGAATTTACTGCACTACGTACTGTAGCCGGATACCTCATACACGACACAACACGACCCCGCCCACAACAAACCAAGGATAACATGAGCAAGTTACTCAGTAGCAAATACTTGGCGACAATCAGTGAACGCATGCAACTTCGCTCGAGGGCTCGACGAACAACCCGCCACCGATAATTGGACGAACGGAAGTAGGTGAAGAGGCGAATATCAACCTGCCGCCCCCAATTACCTCCTCCACCGGCCGGCAAACTGCAAATGTCACATAGCGCCGAGAATACTCAAGACACAATGGCTGCCCACGTTCGACCCAAGCAAGCATGACAGTTTGTCTGTCAGCGGATGGATTTTCCATCTGCACGTTTTTTACAACTACAACCTCATCATCGAAGATTCGCAGACAATCCGATACACCGTATCCCTGCTACGTGGATCGACGATGGATTGGTGGTAGCAGATAATACCATCGCAGGAGTCAGATACGATGTTGCACGTGATCGGGCGTTTTCGTACAACCAATCTCTGGCCAGGAAGTTTTTGCGAGGTGGACGAGTACAACACGTGACAATTGTGGTGTGCGGGAATTCACACCACTTCGAACACGTCAACGCAAGCAGTCAGGCGCGCGACTGCCTTCACACGTGGTGCCATTTCGGATTGGTGTAGGACTAGAGCAGCAACATCAAGAATTTATGCAACCAGGTCGGCTACATTCACCCTGACGAGAAATCCGACAAATACATCGAGGGACTTCGACCGGATCTGCGCCGAGAATTACAATTCCAAGAAATTACAGATTTGCTGGAGGCGCAAAGGGTTGCGGAGTGGTTGGATTTGTTCTTCAAGCCAAGGGCGGGTTCCTATGATGGAAGTCGCACTTGGGGACCAATCGAGCGTGCCACTCTACACGTTCTTACAACATCAAACTCAGCAGTTACAGCCTTCAAGGGTCGCTATTTCGGTGGTAACAGGCTGGGACACCGCAAGTCAGAATGCCCAAAGGAGCGGAAGAAGCAAAATCAGGGTCAGGGGAGTTCCAACAATCAAAGAAATGCTTAGTATTATTAGTTAATGGGCATACTACTGATAGAACCTGTTCGCCCATGATCGATGACCCTCACCGAAATCTGGTACCGATTCACGCAACCAACCGAACTCGGCTGAATAAGAAAGGCACACGGACGGATTACTCCATATATTTAGAGGGTAGGTGTCTACCGGAGATCGACGCCCGACTAGGCGACGGGTCCCCATTAGCAATAAAATACTGGACGGAAAAGATTAGGGTACGGTGTGGAGCTAAGTTCAATTTTTCGATGGGGATGCTGTCAACTACACTCGAGGGTTTCAACCTGCTATTGGGACGGGATTGGTTGTGATGATTCAACCCAAGAATATGTTGGATGATCTCCATCTAATCCGTAAAAATCTATGGCCGCAGTGTAGTGTTGCCAGAATGGACGAAAGTGATCACAGGGGGAGTGACGAAGGTGAACTCCGTGGCGATAAAACGAGCAGTCCCACAGGGAGCATAATTCTTTGATGTAGTTGTCCGCGCAGTCAACATGGCATCGCAACCGTCCGATTTAGAGAAGAAGACATTAGCTTGACGGCCGACCTCGCGCAACAAATATTTCCAAGCGATCTACCCGAGAGATTACCATCGAAACGACCCTTTGACCGCCGATTACTTAATCGAGAATGGGGATGATTACCAAATGTGCATCGTTCACCGAGCACTGAACCAAGTGACTATCAAGTCACGTTACCCAATCCCTTGCGCCGATGAATTGATAAATCAACATTGCACGGCTCGCTTCTTCTCGAAAAATAGATTTCCTGATTTACAGCGAGACCCAGGATCAGCAGTTAAAAAACATTGAACCAGTTTTCACGCTACTGCAGGAGCATCGGCTGCTCACGAAGGGGTCTAAAGGATAGGTTATAGTTTTTAGGTCACGTCATTTCCACGAAGGACGTCGAAGCCGACCCGCGCAAGATCAAGATAGTACAAGCCTAGCTACCGCCTTCGAATCTGCAAGAGCTGCAAAGTTTTTAAGAGTTCGTAAATTACGTTCGGAGGTTCATCCTAAATATGACGGGGGTAATTGCACCATTGACTGAGGTGCTGCGGAAAGGGGCTGAGTATAGGCGGGGGGAGAAAGAGCAAGTTGCCTTCTTCGCGCTCAAAACTTAACTGTGCTGAGCCCCTGTCATTCGCATCACCAATCCTCACCGTCCGTTCGAAGTCATAACTAGTGCCAGCAACATCGCCATCGGAGAAGTACTGTTATAGGACTTCGGAGATAGACTACAACCAATCGCGTATGAGTCACGGAAGCTACACCCACCCGAGCGAAACTACTCGATACACGACAAGGAGATGCTCGCGATCGTGCATGCTTTTCCAAGTGTGGCGGCATGACTGTACCTGATGGGCACGGACGCGGCAGTATGGACAGATCATCGAAGCCAACAGTACATTCGTGCACAGCCACTGCACAACCCGCAGCAGATTCGGTGGTTGGATTTAATGGGCATCCAACATCGCAGACCCCCTTTCTCGCCCATCCGCCCATCTCAACTCAATCATCCTCGCCCAAAATTCTTCGCAATTTACATACCTATTTACCCACAGGTACCAAACGGACAAATTCTTTATACTATATCTGGTGTAGATGGACTTCATCACAAGACAGCTTGCCAAGGACGGTTGCAATGACGCGATATTTGTCGTCACGGACAAACTGACAAAAATGGCTCATTTTGCCGCATGCAAGAAAAGCATCTCAGCCGAAGAAACAGCCCGCCTTTTCATCTCAACCGTCGTTCGGCTCCACGGAATCCCCCCGCCATCATTTCTGATCGTGATACAAAATTTACCAACAATTTTTGGCGCAATCTTTGGGTCTAGTTTGGACGCGACTACAGTTATCCTCCGCCTATCATCCCGAGACCAACGTGCAGACCGAATGAGCCAATCAGACGATGAAGCAACTGATTCGCACTATCTGCGATGACTTGGCCGATTGGGAGTAGCAACTGCGACTGATTGAGTTTGTGTATAACAATGCCCCGACCGACACTACCCGACAGTCGCCATTTTACACGAATTATCGACAAAATCCCACAATTCCCATCACGCCCAACATCGAGAATCATGTTCCCTAAGCCCAACAGTTCGCCGAAATCTTACGGAATGCCCGGAAACGAACAGCTGAAGCCATTATGCGCGCGGACGTTTTTCTAAGCGTAACGCAGATCTACACTAACATGCAGTAACTTACCAAGCAGGAGACTTAGTACTGCTCAAAACTCACAACCTTCGATTGCCCATCGTCCCAAAACTTGGCCCTCGCTACTGCAAGCCATTTACTATCAGCCACATGATATCTTCCGTTACAGCCCATCTACTATTACCGGCCACCTAGATTGTCAGCCCATCATTTCATGTACGGCTACTGTGGCCATACATCGCCAGCACCAGTAGATTACAACGTCATCGAGCCAACCAGAACATCCGACTGCTCGCCGAACCAACTATCGAACCTACGAAGATTCTTAGTCATCGGTTTAGGGATCCTCGAGGGGCTCAACTGATTGATTTCCAGGTATCGTGGAAGGAGCGAACGTCCTTAGGAAAATAACTGGGTGCCCCTGGCACATATCGAGAATTACTCGGTGCTACGAGTCTACCTCCAGTCACGCAATGTGCGCGACTTCGGCGATCGTAGCTAGGACCATACCTTGGAGGGGGGAGGGGGTAAGGAAATGGTATTTCCTTATCACGTGTTTTAGTTAGTAAGGCGTACGCTGCTATAACGGGTTGCCACGTAGCTCTGCCACGAAATTCAAATTGCGCCAGCCAAATGTGGCCTCCTGACGAACCGCATGAATTTTGCCTGTCTTGCAGTTTCATGCCTAGATCTAGGCCCTTAGCGCCATTTTACAAACCACATGTCTCAGCTCTGCTGAGCCTTGATCGTGTGCTCTAGGCCTGACTATATCCAGACTCCTGTTGTTTTAATGTTGCCTCATTGTATTGTTTTCCTCGCTACTCAACTATTCGACGTACACTCTTTGCGCTTCATTACACATAGGTTGTATTTCCATTACTCAACTGATCGTTCCATTCCCACTCATAAAATTCTAGTACATACTGTAGAATGCGAGTTACCGGGTGTGCGATTTGACACAAGCTCAAAGTCAATGTTGGAACGTGTTCACAATGTCAGCACCTTCCTACGACTTCCACAAATTTCTATGAAAGTTTCGTCACATCCTTGCATTTGTCCTTTCTCATGAGGTGAGTTGTGCCGTACCCTCCCCCCCAGGGTTTCAGCTAAGATTTGGGGCTGTCTGAGGATCAGACAGGGTTTCAAAGTTTGGTGTGACCATCATAAGGAAATTTTCAAGGAGTCTGAGATTCCATACGAAAAATTTACACTAGGGAATTTATACGGGAGGTAACAATCATGGGTCCCGTTAACACATGAGGTTACTCGGCTAACACGAACGCCGACTTTTTGTTTGCGGTTTACTGCAGCACCGCACTCTTTTAATATGAGAGGTGACTCCACCTCCCTAGAATCTAACGCTAGAGCACACACAGGATTAAATACCGCCCAAATGACCCCATTTCATCAAGTTTTCCCGTGCGCGCGTCAACCACTATTACAATTCCTAGCCGGATTTAGCGTCAATGCTTGTTTGTTTTGCCTAATGTTTTGCCTAATGTTTTGCGCTTCTGTTGCGCGTGAAGAGCAAGGCCACCCCCGACTTGTAACCGCCATCGAGGTATAATTACAGCTGGTCAAAACCGCCTATTGAATATAATTCACCTGAACTGTCGTTAAACATCACTCATAAAAATGTCTGTGGCCGTTGATCCCTGATCGTTGATTCTTACTCAATGGCTCAGGATTTTTTATGGTTTGATGAGCATCAGCTGGCCTTAGATCCTGGGTGGTCAGCTGTCGAGAAACGTTCGATGTGTCGGTGACAAAAGGATGAAAGAGGCTGACGTGGAATGAATTATGAATTTTCCAATCGTCGGGCAGGCAGAGTTGGGCGGTCACTTGCTTTATCATCTTGATGATTTTGAATGGTCCACAGTAGCGGGTTCGAAGTTTTGGTGGTATATGCAGGCAAAGGTTTTTTGTGTCGAGGAGGACTAATTTCCCTGCAGCCAGAGTGATGTCCCGTTTGTGGCGGTCGAGCAGGGGACTTGACTTTCGACGTTGGTGGAAATGGGTACTGTCAGATCCATCCCATAATTTAGGAAAAAGGGCGAATGATTGGTCGTGGCATATGGTTTGTTGTTGTAGGAAAACTCGAGCGTGGGTAGCGAATCTTCCCACTTCTGGATATCCGGGCAGTTCGTGCGAATCAACTGTTCCATGGTCTGGTTTGTCCGTTCAATCCGACCGCAGTTTGTGGGTGATAGGCATATGAGAACTGTAGGTGGGTGTAATATCAGTTCCACATGTCTTGTCGGAAACACGAGTTGAATTTTGGACCTCTGTCGCCGGATGATCGCCGTAGGGATACCGTGCAGGTGAACAACGGTCGAGATGAACAGGCGAGCGGTTTCTTTGGTTGTGATCGTCGTGCTACATGGCACGAAATGAGCCATTTTTGTGAGGCGGTCGATGACGACGAGAACCGCGTCGTTACCACTTAGTCCGGCCGGCAGGCCGATGACAAAATCCATCGTCACGTGTTGCCAAGGTCGTTGGGGTAGCTCGAGGGGCTGCAACAGTCCTGCTGATTGCTGGCGCGATGATTTCTTTGTCTGACAAATGGGACACGCGCCCATGTACTTCTGATATTCCGAAGACTGCATTTCATACCCATCACGGAAGTTATGAGTATACAGTTATGAGTATTATGTTTGGGTTGAAGAATGCACCACCAACTTTCAACTAACCATGACCAAAGTCTTCCGCTCTTTATTGGACAATTACATCATCATCTACCTGGATGATATCCTGGTGTACAGCAAAACTTGGGGCCAACATTTGAAGGACCTGGAAGCAGTTTTTGCCCTCTACGGTCAACACCGCCTCATCACCAAAGGCTCCAAGTGTGAGTTCTCTAAAGAGGAGTTGGGGTTCCTGGGCCACTTCATCTCCAATGAAGGCATTGAAATTGACCCGAAGAAAATTGACACCTTTCGCAACTGGGAGTCACTAACCAACGTAAAAAACTTGAAAAGTTTTTTGGAGTTCATCAACTACGTGCGTCGTTGTAACCGACTTGCTGCAGAAGGGGGTAAATTATGAGTTGGGGGGAAAGGCAGCAAGCTGAGTTTGACCGACTGGAAAATTTCCTCATGACATCGCTCGTTCTTCGTATCGTCAACCCTGACCGGCCGTACGAAGTGGTTTCAGATGCCAGTGACATTGCCATTGGCACGGTACTATTATAGGACTTTGGCTAAGGCCTGCAGCCAATCGCCTATGACTTGCGAAAACTCGAAGGCGCTGAACGGAATTACCCGGTTCATGACAAGGACATGCTCGCGATCGTCAACGCTTTCAAGACCTGGTGCTGCTACCTATCAGGTGCCGACGTTACTGTCCGAACATGCCACAAGTCCTTATAGTTCCTTTGAACCCAACCGATCCTCAATCCACGTCAGATTCGTTGGCTTGAATACCGTATCTCGAGTCCAACTTCCACTATCGTATCACCTACAAGAAGGGCGCAAATAAGATCGCGGACGCCCTTTCCCCCTCTACTACCCATAAAGCCGCCGTACTAATCGCCCAAGCTACAGTAATCCGCTGCTAGCTGGACTATCTACCCATGGCTATAATAGTGACCTACTCTTTACCTCTAATGGCCACCAGGCCCTGACCACTCAATGAGGCCACTACCACCTAAAAACGGGTACTGACCGAATTCAGGTTCCATCCTACCGACTCTTACAGGAGTTACTGATATAGGAGGTTCATGACGCTAACTGCTCAGGACATTTCAGGGTTGATAAAACCTTGAAAATGCTCCAACGTCATTATTCATGGCTGAATGCGAGCCATGACATAGAGCAATACGTGGACTCATGCCCCATCTGCCAACTCATGAAGTCATCCCCCCAACGGCCAACTGGATTACTGCAACCGTTAGAACCACCCACAAAGCCCTGGACATACGTGTCCATGGACTTCATGATAGGACTGCTAGCCGGTGCATCCCAAAATGATGCTGTCCTCCTGGTCGTTGACTGACTCACGAAAATGGCTCATTTCACGCCCTGCCGAACGACAATCAGAGGTTCACTACCCTTTAACCAGCTGTGGTCGATCGCATAGATCGACACTACTACTCGGTAAGAATGGTGATCTTCGGGTGACAAAGCCTCATCAGTAGGGGACCCAACTACTAATGATGCCGTTCATTTGCTGGCTTCCTTCCATTGTTAGCTCCCGATTTCTGCAACTCCGGACAGTCCCGCATGATGTGACCCAGCTGGCCGCAACGATAACACCTGCCAGAAGATCTATTATCTGACAGTGCTGCCACGCCGCTGATGGATGGGTAAATTTTATGCCCTGAAAGATGACTTCCCTTACGGAAATTCACTCTTGGCCATACAATGTTCTCTTCCCACGCCTCTGCGACCTGCAGCACCTCCAAGAACGTCGTCGGGCGGCGCATGCGAATTTCTCGCTGAACCTCTTTTTTTAGCCCTAGGATGTATCGACTCATTTTCTCTGTCTCGTGTACATCGTCGATTTCGTCGCAGATGACGAGAAAAGATGGCGTGTACACTAGAACATAGCCCATTTGACGCCACCCGTGCAGCTTCACACAAGCGTTTTCGCATGCGGATACATGCTCGAAGCGCTTGTGAAGCAGTGCAACCCACGGTTCCTAAGTAAGGATCTTGGCCACACCAAGTAAGGATCCTTTGGAAGTTGAAGCCAATCGTTGGTCCCCGTCCATCGCCTGTTGCCGGTCTATCGAAGTCCCTCGTGACGTTACGTACTTTTGCCACCAACTTAATGCAGGCCCGCATAATAAAGGCACTGCCAACTTGACGCGTGTCTCATAGTCATTGACACTAGCAGCATTGAGGAGCAGCTCCATGGCGAATAGCCACCCACTCAGCGTGGTGTGCTTCTCCATCGGGTTGAACGGCGGGGGCATTGCAGGTTTTATCTTCACAACTGCCTGTTGCTCGCTCGTGCTGTCATCATGTGTCGCTGACGTCGCCTGCGGTTGATGCGCGCTCGCACAAATCTTGTCCACGGTAAAAGGTGACTCCTGATGTGTCTCACCACACGCCTGACGAAGGCTCACGTTCTCCTCTTTCAACACCGCGAGCTCCATGGACATGGCTGTGAACATATATTTGTATATGTTATAGGTTAGATAGGTGCATGCTCATAAAGAGTACAACTCCTTGGGACAAAACCACCATGTATCACTCATTCTAGTTCATTGTGTTATTCTAAGATGGCATCACGCTAGGTTAGGTCCCCCTCCTCGCTTACGCTTCCGCCCCTAGCCCTAGCCCTAGCCCTAGCCCTAGCCCGTATCCTAGCTATGTCCAAGTCATGCCCTAGCCCTAGCCGCACCCGCGCCCTAACTTTGTCCGCGCCGGCCCTGTCACTTCACGCCGGTGCTGTTAGTTCGCGCCGACCCCGCTAGTTCGCGCTGACCCTGCTAGTTCACGCCGGCCCCGTCACTTTGCGCCGGCCCCGCTAGTTCGCGCCCTAGTTCATTATGTTATTCTAAGATGACATCACACTAGGTTAGGTCCCCCTCCCCGCTTACGCTTACGCTTCCGGCCCTAGCCCTAGCCCTAGCCCTAGCCCTAGCCCGTATCCTAGCTGTGTCCTAGTCATGCCCTAGCCCTAGCCGCACCCGCGCCCTAACTTTGTCCGCGCCGGCCCTGTCACTTCACGACGGTGCTGTTAGTTCGCGCCGGCCCCGCTAGTTCGCGCCGACCCTGCTAGTTCACGCCGGCCCCGTCAGTTTGCGCTGGCCCTGTCACTTCGCGCTGGCCCCGTCAGTTCGCGGCGGCCCCGCTAGTTTGCGCCGGCCTCGTCCGTTCGTGCCGGCCCCGCTAGTTCACGCCGGCCCGGTCACTGCGCGCCGGCCCCGTTAGTCAGCGCTAGCCCCGCTAGTCCGCGTCGGTCCTGCTAACTCGTGCCGGCCCCGCCACTTCGCGTCGGCCCTGCTAGTTCGCGCCGCCCCTGCCATTTCGCGCCGGCCCCATCCCTCCGCGTTGGCCCCGCTAGTCCACACCGGCCCCTCGTTCGAAGTGCCCGCCCTGGCCTCAACACTCGCTCATTGGCCCACGCTCGTTGGCCCATGCTCGCTCGCTACCCAATACCTCGCTGGCCCCAGTTTGCGCCGGCCCTTGCTCGCACCAGCCCCACTTTGCGCCGGCCCCACTTCGCGCCGGCCCCTGTTTCCGCCATGCCGCGCTGCCGCCGTACTGCCGTGTTGCCGTGCCGCCATGCTGCAGTGCGCCATGCAGCCGTACCACCGTATTGCAGTGTCGTCATGCCACCGTACTGCTGTGTTGCCGTGCCGCTGTGCCACTGTGCCGTTGTCAGCTACTACAACCGTGGTGATGGCGGACGCTGTGCTCTGCCTGGACGCAGAGAGTCGCGCGATCAATTTTGAGGCGTGGCTCGTCGACCTCCATCGTCAGCTTACAGGTTAGTGCCAGGACGGCTACTCCCTAGCCATCCTTGTTGACGGTAAGCTTCCCTACACCGCTGTGCCTGCTGCACTCCTTGACGCTCCCACGTTTGCTGAGCGTGAGGCCTTTGCCGCAGCTGAGCTTGCCTGCGCCGTCTGGGAGTCGCACGACACGGTAGCGCAGCTTGCTATTAGTTATTCCCTCCCCCTGTCTGAGCGTACCCACTTTACTGCTGTAGCAAATGCGAAGGAATACCTAGATGCAGTCATCGCATGCTATTCCACTCCCTCCTCTGCCTTAGCCGGCCGTCTGATCCTCCCCATGCTGTTCCCAGATCTTGCATCCTTCCCCACTATCGCTGACCTTGCCACTCATGTGCGCGCACTTGAGACTAGTTACTGCGTTGCTCGTACTGAGACCCAGCTTACTGCATTCCGTTTTCCCCTCTGCTCTACCTTTTACCCCATTGCCATGCGCCTTCCTGGCCGCCTTGCCACTGCCCGCGACCACTTCCTTAGTCAGCACCCAGGTGACCTCACCCTTCCTGCCTTTGTCATCGCCCTGTCCGCGATAGAGACCCGCCAGCGCACTATCGCTCAGTCTAGCGGTACTACGACAGTCCCTATCTTCTAGGGTTGTGCTCCCTCCCAGTGCACTTACTCAAACGTAACTGCTGCTGTTGCTAAGACGGCCCTTGCTGTTGAGACCACTGTGGCGGCTATAGCGCAGGCTCGTCAGGGTAGGGGACGTCGGGCCCGGTGGGGGGCGTGGAGGCGGGAGGGGTGGTGAAGGTGGCGGCAGTGGTGGAGGGGACGGTGGTGTAAATGAGGGGACCGAGGCTGATGCCCCGGTGCAGTAGCAAGAGCAGCAGCAATCGCAGTAGTAGCAGCAGCAGCCGTGGGGACCCCTGCTACCGTGGTGGCCCGACGGCACAGGTGGTGGTGGTTGTGGTGGGCTGCACAACTCGGTCTTGTGTGGCAGCTCCAGTGTGGTCACCTGCCAGTACCAACTTCATTTCAGCCCCTGCCGCGGCACCCTGCACCCATCCCGGTCACACCGTCGCCCGCTGCTACCACCGCCTCGACGATCTCTTCCGTCTCCGCTTCGGCCCTCAGTCGGACCCCCCCGATTGGTACAGCCTGGTGCGTCATCGTGTGCTCGTCTTTGAGCTAGATATGGATCAGATTAGGTTTGCTATGTATGCCATGTATGCTGATAACTCTAGTATGACTAGACCCTATTACCCTATGTTGCCTAGTATAGGTGTGTCCACTATGTGTAGCCTAGGTTCCCCTGCTCCATCAGGCATAGGACAACCTGTCTTGTTTAGCCTCGGCTCCACTCTAGCTCCTCCGCCTTCGAACGCCACCGCTACGCTCTCTTTCACGCTAGACTCGGGTGTGCCCACCCGCAAGATCATGTTGCTTGCCGCCCCTGGTGCTGTAGCGCATGCTGACCCCTCCTCAGGTCCGGTAGTTGCACATAGCTCCACTACCCTTCCCTGTCCGCCACTGGTGCCTCTCTCACCACGTTCCCCCGGGACCCAATTTCTGGCATGTTCACTCTAGACACAGCGTCTCTCCCGGTGGGAGCGTCCCCCAAGGTGGTCGCGCCCTCCCAGGTCGCTGCGGCTTGCTCGTGTTGGTCGCTCATCCACCCATCGCTGCTGTGGCACCACCGCTTAGATCACCCCGCACTCCCACGTCTGTGTCACATGTCCCAGCACGGTCTTGTCTTAGGTCTCCTTGCGACGCTCCCTGCCCTCCCTCCCTCGCTTGTGCTTCCGTGCACGCCCTGCGTTGAGGGCAGTTTGCGCTGTGCCCCTCACTCTTCCTCACTCCCCCCTACCACTACGCCACTCCAAACCTTGCATCTGGACGTCTGGGGCCCAGCCCCCCTTCCTAGGCCGCGTCAAGAGCGCTACTTTCTGGTGCTCGTCGACGACTACACGTGCTACACCACGGCATTTCCCCTAGATCGGAAGGCCGACGTGCCTGAAGTTCTTATCTCGTGGGTC